GCACACAAGCTGCCACAGCAGATAAGTACACTCACACGCTCTCTGATGTGCTGTTGACTGCTTTCTTAGCCTTTGTGCACCACTCTTTCTGACATGCACGCTCACATTCTTTCGCACCTCATCATTCCATTTTAGAGGCGCCTCAAAAATAGACTCCTCACGCATCCCTTCGCACCTCATGAATCCATCCATGCTGCTAAACCACTTGCAGCTGCCTAGGTGACGTGGTGCAGACCCCCCCCCCCTCCCCCCCCCCCCCCCTCCCTCTTTATTCCAGGTATCCCCGCCCCCCACGGTTAAGCCTACCACTATTTTTTTTTTTTTTAATATCCTCCTTCCTATTACCCTTGGGTCTGCACCATGAGCCTAGTGCTGCTCCAGTGGTCCCTCTGCTGTTGTCACACCAGCCACCCCACCCATGCACACCTCTCACGCTTCTACCCCTAGCCGCTTGCTCTCTGCTCTACAGTTTTCTCCTTGCAGGTTGAGGGGAGGGGTGTGGGGGTCAACACCGCCACTCCCCTGCACCCCTCTCCTGTGGCTGTGGAGGTGCATGCACAGGGGGCGCTGGAAGGAGTTCTGCCATGAGGGAGGGAGAGTATCTGGGGTATCTGGGGTTGGCCTCTCATGGTAAGCCCCTTTCACCACCCCCTCCTACTGCTGCAGATGATGCCCCCTCACTGTCTTTCCTCCAATCCTTACTGGCTTTTTTGTGCACCTTCCGCTCACTCCTGGACCTAACTGCCTCCTTGTCTCCCTTCCCCTCCCCTCCCCTCTCGCCCACCCCCCCTGCCTCCCCTCCCCCAGGGGGCGGACCTGCAAGCGCCTGTGGCGCAGCTGCTGGAGGGGGAGGAGCAGCAGGGAGCTTCTGCTGCCGCCACGGAGCAGCAGGGGAGGGGAAGGAAGGGGAGGGGAGGGGAGGGGAGGGGAAGCGATGGGGGACAACCACTCTCAGCGCTGCTTTCAGCTTGCAACCACTCTCACCTGCCCCCAATAGCCTGAGCCTCGCCTTCTGCATTGCCATTTGCCCTTTGCTATTGCCATTTGCACTTCGTTATTGCCATTTGCTCTTTGCTTTTGCCATTTTCACTTCGTTATTGCCATTTGCTCTTCGCTATTGCCATCTGCAGTTCTTTATTGCCATTTGCACTTGCCTCCCCTCCCCCGGCCCCCCAGCCCCCTCTCCCCCCCCCCCTCTCCCCCCCCTCTCCCCCCCTCCCCATCCCCCAGCGCATGCCTGCCACAGAGGGAGTGGCAGCAGGGAGCAGGGGCGGCAGGGAGCAGGGGCGGCAGCGGCAGCTGGGAGAAGAGTGAGCGGGGCAGCGGGGGAAAAGGAGTGGGAGGGGGGGGGCAGCATGCGAACGCTGGGCGGCTCAAGCAAGCAAGCAGCTAAGTGGTCCCTTCCCTACTCCCTGCTCGTACCTTTGATTTCCAGCGCATGCCTTGCCCCTGCTTCTGTCATTCGTTTCATCCCTCCAAACCAAACCATGCCACTGGTAGCAACAAATCCAGCAAGCCACAGACCCCACTAAGTGCAGGTAATTGCCCAGGTATTTCAGGTTTTACCCCAGGTATTGCAGGTATACCCCCCTCAGGTATTGCAGGTACAGCCCTCAGGTCAAACCAAGCCTCAGGGCTTCTAGCTGAGACTCTACCAGTGGCTCCCTCCCTTTGTGCTCTTCCTTCGGCAATGCTTGCACGTCTCAGTTCTCAGCCGCCTCTTTCCATCTAACTTCCTCTTTCCTCCCTTCCCTCCTCCCCCCTCCCCTCCCCCGTGTGGCCGTGCAGGTGCATGCACAGGGGGCGCTGGGAGGAATGCTGCCATTAGGCTGGGAGAGTATCTGGGGTATCTGGGGTATCTGGGGTTGGCCTCTCATGGTAAGCCCTTATTCACGTCCCCCTCCTACTGCTGCAGACGATGCTCGTTCACTGACATTCCAGTACTTGCATGCATTGCCTTTTCATCCTCCCAATGCTATGACTGCTCAGATTCCAGTACTAACTCATCCTCCGTCTGTCCCCCCCTTTACTGCCCTCACCAGGTTATTGTTTGACGCTGCAGCAGACGAACCTGAGCAGCTGGTAGCCGCCGCCGCCGCCGCAGCAGCAGCAGCAGCAGTTGGATTTGGGGGTTAGCGGGCAGGCTAGGATTAGGAGTGAGCGAGGTATGGTACCAGGTAAGGTATGGTACTAGGTAAGGTATGGACATCTCACCCCTCTGCTTCCTTCCTACAGCATGTGGATCTGGAGCCTTGGAGCAAGGGCAGGAGAATGGAGCATGGGCAGTAGAAGGGAGCCCACCCCCTCGTTTAACGCCTCTCTTCTCTTCTCCCTCTCCCCTTCACCCAGCAGCATCTCGCCTTGAGGGAAGAAGAGTCCAGGGCCCACCCTCAACCCCCCTCCCCCTCCTCAGCAGGTTGCAGCATCATGATGCTCCGTTCGACTATGGTGGGTGGAGGTAAGGCGGTGGTGTGGTAAGTGGATGGAGGGAGGGTGCGGGGGGAGGCATAGGAGCAAGCATGCAGCCCACTCCCTTAGGGGCAGCACCCTCTGTGGTTCCTGCCTTGTGGGTCGAGTGTGGTCAGTGGAAAGTGTGTGGCACGGCAGTCGTTCCTCAAGTACCAACACTGGCGTATCGTATAATGGAACCGGTCAGAGCCGTGCGCGCCGGCTCTGGTTGGGAGTCCCCTCCTACGACGCTTTCGTCACGGGATTTGAGTCTTGGGCCGCCCGTGCATTTTCCACTGCCATACCTCGCACCACAAGGCATAGCCATGGGGGGTGATGTTTCTGAACGGGGGTGGGTTGCTTGCTGCTGCTCCTAGTGCTGGGAGGGTGAAGGTTGGGGGGCGGGGAAGGGGGAGGGGACGGGGGGTTGGGATGGTGGTGGTGGTTTAACGGGGCCCTGGAACCCCCCAGGTGAGTCAAGTGAGGGGCAATGGAGGGCGGCTGCATCTACCACCTGTGTAAGTTGAGTGAGAGGGAGTAGAAAGGGGGCCTGAATCCCTCTTGGGTAAGTTGAGCGTGGGGCAGGGGAGGGGGGCTGAACCCCCCTGGACAAGTTGAGTTTGGGAGAAAGGAGGGCGTCTGCAACCATTACTGTAAGTTGAGTGAAGGGGAGGAGAGGGGGGGCTGAAACCCCCCAGGGTAGGTTGAGTGTGAAGGAGAGGATAAAACCCCGGGGTAAGTTGAGTGAGGGGCATAGCAGGGGGCTGAATCCCCTCAGGACAAGTCGGTAAGTTGGGTGATGGGCAATGGAGGCGACTGCAACCACCACTGTAAGTTGAGTGAGAGGGAGAGAGGGGAAGGGGGGCTGGTACCCCTCAGGGTAAGTTGAGTGAGGGAGGGGACAAGGGGGTCTGAAACCACCCTGGTATGTTGGGTGATGGGCAATGGAGGCGTCTGCAACCACCACTGTCAGTTGAGCAAGAGGGAGAGAGGGGAAGGGGGGCTGAAACCCCCTGCGTAGTGTGAGGGGCAAAGGATGGGTGGTGAAATTTCCATGGTGGGGTGAGAGCAAGGCAGGGGAGGGGGGTTGAGACTCCCAGTGTAAGGCTGGCGAGGGGCAGGGGGGGAGAGGGGGGCTGAAACCCTAGGGTAAGGTTGAGCAGGGGGCAGAGGAACCTCCCTCTTCTGCCTTCTGTTGGCCTCAACCCGGGTGTCATCCCCCCTCTCTTGCCTCTCAATCGCCTTGCCTTGGGAGTTTCAATCCCCCTCCCCTGTCTTTTCCTCACCTGTCGTTGCCTTGGAGCTTCACCCCCGTCTTCTGCCAACCCCTCCCCTTGCTCTCTCCTCTGCCCCAAGGGGGTTGCATCACCTCCAGGGTTCCTCCCTGGGGGTTGAAACCCCTTTACAGCAATGTAAGTTGGAGCCAAGAATGTGGGGCTAAAGCCCCCTGAGTTCGGGGAGTGGGTGGGAGAGAAGGAGGCTCAACCCGTAAGGTGGGTGAGTGGAAGACTAAGGGGCTGAAACCCGAAAGGAGTGTGTGGAAGGGAAGGGTTGAGCCTAGAGCTCCACGTGATGGGCAGCAAATGATGATGCCCCACGTGTTGCCTGATGCTAGAGGCCCTCTCATGTGGGCTCGTTGGCTCACCCCTTCCCAGTTTGAGGGAAGGGAGGGGGTTTTAGACCCCAAGTTACAAGGTGAGGCAAGGGAGGGGGTTTCAGACCCCATGTTACAAGATGAGGCAAGGGAGGGGGTTTCAGACCCCAAGGATGGGAGTGAGACCCAGGCGTTTGAGACCACGGGGGGTGAGACCCAGTGGGGTAAGTCCCAGGGGGGCGAGACCCAAGGGGTGAGACCCCAGAGGGGGTGAGTGGGGGGAATCAAAGGGGCCTGAAACCCCTAGGGTGAGTGAGTGGAGACTATCCCCTAGGGAGATAGGGGGCTGAATGCTCTAGGGTGAGCCTAGGGATCTGTTCTGGGTGGGCCTTCAGACTATCAACGAGTGAGCTGGGAGGGTGGTGGTGCCTGCTGGTGGGGGTGGTGGGTGGTCCTGCTGCTGGTGGTGAGCGGGAGGCAGCGAGGGGTGGATGGTGGAGGGATGGAGGGATGGAGAGGCATGGGGATGGTTGGAGCAGAGTGGGGCGAGATGGAGGGGATGAAAGGGAAGAGGAAGGTTCTGGTGTGGTATGGTGATGGATGGTGATATGGTATGCCATGGTGTGAAATGCCTTGCCATGGTGTGGCATGCCATGGTGTTGCGTGCCATCCATCTGCAGGTGATAGCGCCTGGAGGGAAATGGAGCAATATTGAAGGCAAGGTAGCAAAACTGGCATGGACGGGAAGTAAGGGGAAGAATGGTGGAGGAGAATAGGTGGCGCCTGGCATGTGGCAAGCGTGGTTGCCTAGCTCTGCTCTCACACTCACGCAATTTTTAACTCACGGTGTGCTGCGTGAGGCACCGGGGTCTGATTTGGTCTGGTCTAGTTGATCCTCCTAGTGACTGGCACCGGCTTGAAGCACTGAGCCATAGAGTGTAAAGTTGTGTCAACTCGTGTAAACTCGTGTCAACTCGTGTAAACTCGTGTAACACGAGTTGTGTGTCCTGCACATTCCATACTAGAATACCCCATGCCGGAGCCCTGCTCACCAAGCTGAAACTCAGGTCACTGAGCTGTGAAGTGGTGGGGAAGCCCAAGCATGTACATGTACCGGTCCGGTAGCAGCCGAAGTTTGCTAGGATGTGTAGCAGTAGCATTGCAAGTCGCAACTGGCTTGCTGATCCAACATGAAGAGAGCGTGAGTGCCACCAGCAAAGAACCTCCCAGAAGGACCAGCAATGCAACCATGAATATCGGCTTCACGATTTACGACTGGTTCCTCTCCTGGTTTGCCTCCGCAGGTGCTGTCTGCTGCCCCTGCAGCCGCTTCTGCTGCTCCAGCAAAGGGAGCCGGAAAACCTGCAGGAATTAAAGAGATACAACACCAAGAGATGGCAAGCAACACAGAATCACGCATAAAAAAAGGAACCCATGCTTGCTTATCGTGTCACTCGCTTCAATTCAAGCGCCCCACTTATTTCCTGCCCACTTATTTTCTGCCCTTTGAACGAACCGGGAGCACCTCACACAAGAATTGGCCGAATAGACAGGGAGCGCAAGACAAGGGGGAACACGTGAAAACAACAAGAAGAGCAAACAAAAGAAACCAACGTGTGAGGTGGTTTGTGAGGCGTTTTAACACTTCGTGCCCCGCCTCCTGCTCTCCTAACTGCTCATTGCCCTCCACTCCAGCAATCCTCAACAGAACATGCCTGTGAAACATTCAGGACAGGAACGGAGTCTTACAGGAAAGGAGCAGGAAACCACTGTGCTCAGGTGAGCCTAACTCAGCTTAAGGCATACCGGTGAATCTAATTCTCCAGTGAAGTCAGCCACTGCGTTGTCTTGGTTGTTGGAGCTCAGATTGTTGGATGGCAGCACGGCTCCTATGCCAGGCAGGTGAGGGCCCTATTCTTCCCCCAACGCTCCTCCATCCCCACATCCACCACGGGCACCAGCGGCAGCACCTCACGCGCACCAGCAGCAGCAGCAGCACCAGCAGCAGCAGCAGCAGCAGCAGCAGCAACAAGGCCAACAGAATTGTCGGTTGTGTGAGATTCGAGAGCTAGCAATAACGCCTCCGCTTCACTGCTTTCGAATCGGAACGTAGAAATCGATTTACGAGTTGAGCTGTTTGCAAACACCTGGATTTCTATGGAAATATGAGTTGAGCTGCGACCACGCCATCCGATGTTGGGAAATGAAACAGAGAAGAAATGACATTCTGTTGAGAGGAAATGGAACCTGGAAAAAGAGAAACAGGTAAGGAAAAAGAGGTAAAAGAGAATACATCAGTTGAGGATTGAAACAAAGATCGGTTGAGGAATACATAAGTCGAGAATACAGACTGAGATTACATAAGTTGAAAAAAAAAGAGGCCGTAAGCATCAGGTTCCTCGAAGAATCTGATGGAGACAGAATGAGAAAACCTCATTTGCAGACGAAATGTCAGGGCGGCGCATGATAATTGATCACTCACCCCTTAGTCATTGAATCCAAGGATGGTCTCTTCTGGGAAGAAATCAAAAGGATCTTCAAGGCAGTGCACGTTGATGAATGTCGCTCCCACAAAGGGGTGTTCCCGGATGAGCTTCACGAAGCGTTGCCTTGCGTCCTCTGGGGTCAGACGTGACTATAACGGGGGAAAACGGGGTTCAATCGAAGGTAAAGTACCAGATGAAAATTGATGACGCAACTGTCATAAGGAGAGCTTGTCGTATGTGTGTCCCAGGGACCCAGGGTGCTAATCTGTCTGAACTGTACTCAGAAGAAAACACGATCCTCACAACCAACACGGTGAGTGCAGGAGGAGGAAAACAGAGGATGGGGGAAGAATGGGATAAGTGCAAAATGGGGGGGTTGAATGCAAAATTCCTATGAGTTGTCGCAAGGCAACGTGGAATCATGTGCCAACGAGTGAGTTACAGGGATGAATTGTGGTTACCAGTTCATCGTAACGAACCAGCATGGTCCTCTCCAGGCTTTCTTCGACTTCAGCGATTGGAGGTTTGAACTGCACTGGGATTGCTCGCTCAATAACTGACCGCCACTCGCTGCACGGAGGGAAGGGAGGAGGGGGGGAGGGAGGGAAGCAGGGAGGTACGGAGAGAGAAAACAGGTGATTCAGGGAGAGGGTGGCGGTGGGATGAGAGGCCCAATCCACTGCTCATAATAAAGCGCATCAAAAGACCACAGGCCACAGGTCACAGACCCCCTAACCTATGAGAGAAACTCACGCCGCGCTCTCTGGATCCGGCAGCGTGCCGTCCTCCACGGGCACTTGGAGCATAGCCAGCTCGGCCACCATAGTCCACAACAACCATCGGGTAAGCGCCCTTTGCATAAGCACGCCTCGCTTGAAGGTACGTTAGGGGCGCCTCTCCATCCCGGCCGCACCTCGCTGATCCATCGCTGGACCAGGAAAGTGGGTCTGGATCCGGAGGACGAGAGCTGAGTGTGGCACATCCGCTTGCTTGGATGACAGACAGAGGGTTTCATCCTGACCCTATCTATGCTCCTGCGATCTTCACCCGATGCGCGTACAGAAATCCGTCAGGTTTCCTTATCTTCCCCTGAAGCACGGATGAAGTTCCATATGACCCGTAAATTCCAGGCGAGCTTGGAATTTGGGTTACCAAGGCAGGAAGTACCGAGGGCGAGCTGGCGCGGTGTAATCACCTGCCATAACACAGACACAATCTCACAGAGAACAAATCTCTGAAACTGCATAAACTAACCTTACTTTTCCACGTACCGATAGCTCGAGTTGGTCAATCCGCTGCTACCCGTCAATATCAACCATCCGGTGCTACATGCATGGCATGGCAGGCAGTTGTCCATGTCAAACATATGTATAACCCATATTTGTATAGACTGTATAGGGTCACCCCTTAGAGGGTACAACACTCTTAGGTATATACTCTTGTTCTCTCTCTCTATTCCACACTTGTTCAGTTTTTCTTCTCGACATGGTATCACCCGTAGGTTCGACCCCCCCCCCCCCCCACCTACCGCTTCCGCCCGTGCCTCCTAGGCCCTGTCGCGCTTTCACCTAGGCCCCGTCGCGCCGCCCCCACCTAGGCCCCGTCGCCAGGGCTGACTTTATCAGACTATTTGCTCTGATTAGTCTGAAATCTCAGACCGGTTTTTTGGCTAAACCTGAATTTCCAGATAAGGCATTTTCCCAATCCTGATCGATTCAGACTTAGACTTTAGGGATCCTGAAAAAATCAGAGTTCACGCTAACCCAATACTGAGTTTTCAGAGTACATCGGGTACGAACCCTGAAACAGATTTCCACGGGGCACGCAAGATCCCTAGAAATTTCGCATGCCATCAGTGATTCCCGCCCGCGTCACGTGGAGAATCCACACTTCCTTGAAAAATCCGCCAAGTCCAATGAATACTCTGCCCACAGTGGGCACTCTGCTACCCAGCGCAGCAAAAATGCTGCCACGCCGAGCCACTAAGGACCACAGATTCTGCTCTGTTGCTCTCTGTGCATGCGCGAACTTCGGGCCCGTGCCCTCTGTGCCAGCCTTGCAGAGGTTGGCCATCATCCCCATTGGCTGCAGTTGCAGCCAACACATCGACTAGGCAGCATGGCGCTGTGTTGTGCATGGACAAGTCCCGAAACCGCGTCACGCCTTTCAAGAAAGGTGCGACACGGGTTTGATGGACCCCTTCTTCTCCAGTTGTTCCTTACCCACCACCTTCGAACGCACTGCTTCAGGTTTTAGAGGGGAAATCCTTCATGTTGTTCATTTCGACACAGACGTAGTTGTAGTCACTATCTTCATTTCCTACTCGTCGTTTCTCCTCTCGCCATGCCTGAAAAGGATGGCGACGACGATGCTCCAGCTGACGGTGATGAGCCGCGCAGCAGTAAGGTTCCTGTCGTTGCGCCAAGGAGCGCCCTAGATGTCTTGCGGCCCGTTGCCGCATCGGCTCCTCCGCCTTTTGTCGCCATAACCGTTGTAAACGAGACCCCACGCGATGAGCCATCGTTGCCTAGTAGACCTGCCCCCGCTCCGTTCGTTCTCCCACCAGCCATAGCATCTTCTAGCAGAGGACCAGTGGATCCTATTGACTGCGCCACTGCCTCTACCGTTCGTTATAGTGTGCCGTGCGCATCGACTGTCTCTTCGGCGAAGAAACAACGTACGACGAAGTATACACAGCAGCGTATCAACTCAGGTGGCCAGATTCGCCCTCCCTCACCACCGCGCTCACCTACCCCCGTCACCCGCCCTGATGAACCGCCGCCACCGAGGCTAAGTACAGAGGAATTGATCGAGCAGAAGTACCTAGTCGCGGAGGCTAAGTATAAGAATGATTGGCTGCGTTATTTCCCATGGCTTGTACTTACCCGTAGTAAAGATGGCTACCCCGCTCTTAAGTGCAGCGTTTGCCGAGCCTTCGGCAAAGAAACGACGAAGTATTCAAGGCCAGGCGACGGCGGGCGAGATCTCCAGACACAGACGATGCGCATTCATGAACACTCAACAGTCCACGAAGCGGCAGTTCGCCGGCAGCTCGAGATTCAAAAGGAAATTGAAGACAAGCAGCAGAAGATGACAAGCTTCGCCACCGTCGATGTCGAAGGCCGCCGCGTCATCCGTCTTTTGCGGTGCGTGGAATTTCTTTGCAAGAACGACGCTCCTATCGCCATGTTTCCCCGGCTGCTTCGTTTCATGGCAGAGCAAGACACACCAGACATACCTCTCCAGTCGTACGGAGTGTATCTCACCAGGTAAGGCTACCTGGCTTTCGCCGGTTGATGGTTGGATTTTGATATGAACCTTGTAAATTTCAATGCATTTCCAATGCTAATTAACCAGTGTCTCACTTCTGATTATGCCACTGCAGGTACGGGTTCCAGCAGATGGTCAACTGTCTCTCTACGCATCTGCTGGCTACTCAGATGGAGCACATCAAGAGCTCACCTTACCTCGGCATCTCATGCGACGAAAGCACCGACCGCACGCGGGGAAAGCACTTGATCGTCTACATCACATTCATGCGGCTGCGTCGAGTCGTCACCGAATTCCTAGCCCTGCTAAACGTTGACAAGTGCGACGCCGCTTCTCTTATGGCCACTCTCTTAGCCCACCTGGAGTCGTCCGGCATCGACCTCCAACGCATCGTTGGCATCAGCACAGACGGCGCGTCGGTGATGGTCGGCCGAGACAACGGGCTTGTGGCGCGACTGCGAGACATCATCCCGCACCTTTTTTCCTCCCACTGCATCGCCCACAGGTTTGTTAAAGTATTCCTTGCTGTGTGTTTATGCTTATGTTTCTGTGTGCTAACCACTACCCATGTCGGTACATGCAGAGAAGCACTTGCTGTGAAGGATGCTGCAGCTTCATGTCCAGACCTCGACATGGTCGACAAAGTCACTCGCACCCTTGCGGACCTTCTCGGCCGGTCGAGCGTATGGAGCAGTCGTTTCAAGCATCTGCAGCGGGCGATTCACAGCACCAACCTTGAGGTTCAAGGCATCCATCAAGTTCGATGGTTGTCCAGGGGAGAGGCAATCCGACGCCTGTGTAAAGTGTTGGGTGCTGCTATTGTTCTGCTGTATGAGTATGAGCATCCCCTGTATGAGGTTGTGATTTCGTATAAGTTTCAGTTTTGCCTCTTCTACCTGGCCGACATGCTGGCACTCATGAACGACCTCAACCTCAAGTTTCAGAAGCGAGAGGTAAGATGCTCATGTTTGCAAGCATGGTGTTCTCCTCTGGTGCAAGTACTCATGTCTTTCACTCCTCTGTGTCCCCCCCTCTCACACCGCAGGTCGATGTCACAGAGGTGGCAACGGACATCGACGCGACACTGGGGGATCTGCGGCACCGCTATGTCGACTTCGGGGAGATTTTCGGTGTCGGCGCCGAAAACACCTGGCTCTCGGCGTTCCTCGCGGTGTACGGGCGCGGCGGAACGAAGCGGGTGAAGGTGCGCGGTATCGACTTGGAGGGGAACCCCGTCACCCATACGTACAAGATGCACGAGCGGCACCTCGACAAGCACCAGTACGGGAGCAGCTACAAGGACTGCGTGCAGCTGTGCCAGAAGCACGCCAAGGATACCATGACCAACGTACAAGAGCGGATGCTGGATCTGCGCAAGATGTCGCCGACGAAGCTCTGGGTGGCGGCGAAGTGGCCGAGACAACGGGCGCAGCGCGAGAAGAAGACGAGAGAGTATCTGCTTGGATGCAGCGGCATCTTCGAGCACAAGCTGCCAGGCTTCGACGTGAAGGCAGCGGAGAGGGAGCTCGCAACTTGGGCGCCGATCATGCAGAATCATCACGAGGTGGAGAGTTTCCACCAAGGCCTGGCAAACTACCTCACGAAGACGGACTCGAGCAGGCAAGTCCAACCATATTGTCGTTTGTGAATCACCACCTTCCATTCTACTTGCCAAGTGTGCACAACATCGCCGCCCTTGCCAACCGCATCTTTTTGTTATCCGCCTTCACTGTATGCATTTCCTACTGCCTTTCTTCCGCCTCTGTTTTTGTGCCCCGTGTCAGGCGCTGGCCCAATCTGATGCGCCTCTGGCAGGCCTGCGCCGTGCTGCCTTTGTCAACCGTCGAATGTGAGAGGGGCTTCTCTCGGCAGAATGTGATTAAGTCCTGGGTCCGTGGCTCACTCTGCAACGCGCGCCTCTCCGAGTTGATGGCCATCTCGCTGCTGCAGTATGACATCAATTGGACCGAAGCCCTAGCGACCTGGCGAGAGAAGCTGAGACGGCCAGCACGATCTGTTGTCTTCGCAAGAGCGGAACGAAAACGCAAGGGGAAGGCCCTAGAGGGTGAGGTGGCGGGGGACACAACGGATGGACAGGGGGAGGTGCCAGAGTACGCGGGGGAGGGGTGGGCTGAGGAGGATGGGGGTGATGATGAGAATGATGCGGCTCCAACATTAGGCGACGACCCTTTCCTGTCCGACGATGAGGGGGGTGATGATGAGATTACTGTAGATGTGCCGGAGTTCTAGGTGCCTGTTAGCTAGTGGTGATTGCTTGGTTTGGTAGTAGTAGTTGTAGATAGGCTCCTGTCCAATGTAGCAAAATGTAATACACAAGAATAGCTTTTCTTAATAACATAAAATGTAACCCTGAGTACACTTGTGCGATCCTGAGAATTTCAGAGTTGCACATCTCTGGACTCTGACATTTCAGAGTCCCTAAATTCTGGCTGAAGGCCATTCAGACTATTTTTTTTTTTGGGGGGGTCAGCTCAGAGTGCCTTTTTTTGAAACGTCAGCCCTGCGCGCTGTGCTCTGAAAACTCAGTACTGGGTTAGCGACAACTCTGATTTTCTCAGGATCCCTAGAATCGTACTCTGAAGGGATCAGGATTGGGAAAATGCCTTATCTGGAAATTCAGGTTTGGCAAAAAAATAGGTATGAGATTTCAGACTAATCAGAGTAAATAGTCTGATAAAGTCAGCCCTATAGAGGTACCTATTCGGTGATGTACCTGTTCGAGCTATTTACGCTATGCGCTCTAACCACTACTGAAAAGAGCACGACTGTTCGCTTGACTGAAACGGCTTGCTGATGTAATCATCAAGACGAGCGCTATTTGCTGACGTCATTTTACGGATGCTAACTATAGTGTAACTCGACAATATCTATCGAGACTACTTACAGAAATGCTTGAGTACAATTTTATCACAACAATTGTGTTGCATATAGAGAGCATCGATTTTTTTTCCTATGCATGTACAAAGGAATAATCTCGTCTCTGTTTATCCAAAGCTGGGATGAGAAAGTGGATAAAAAACATGCCCCTCTCCTGCTTTTGGTTTATACAAGAAATGAGAGTGCCATCCTATATGGTGTCATAATGTTTTCCATAAAAATTGTACTAGTATGCATTTTAATGGAACATAGCTATATATGTGTGTACATGCTGATATAGAAATTGCAAGTCATCCCAATAGGAAATTGTGCAAAATATTCGTTTGTTGCAAGTAACCCGAAGAGGCTTGTAACGAATCTCGGGAAATTTGCCTGCAGATAATCACCTTGGTTGACCTTGTCACCGCATCTCCAGACAGCTCGACTATTATCTGCCTCCGTGGCAGCCTACCATTGAGCTTGGCTCACGTGGTTCTAACAGAATCCCCATCAAGCTCCACTGGATGACCTGGGAATTGAACGTGCCCAACCACGTGTAGTATCCAGCAATCTTCACAGCCACTTCGCGTCACGTGATAGCATGGCAGGCTTTTCCACGCCACAGAGCAACAACTCGCAGGCACGAGGGGCCGCAAGATTCGCGGGTGATTGAGCGCGAAACCCGCATGGCGGTCGCGACTCGATTTCCTGACCTTTCACATTTCTAAAGGTCGCCGTTGGAAGCTCGCCTGCGGACCGCGTCCCGCTGATCCTCCAGGATGGTGGGGTTCCAGCTTCAATTTGAGTGACCCCCACGATCGCGAAGAGCCGTTTGGCCTTCGGATTCTCGATAGGCCAAGCTTTCTCGAGGCCCACCTATCATGTCGAACCTTCCATCCAGGTCCAGCCAGACCAGATACCCTAGGTCCATCCATTGTTGTCTTTCTTGATTTCTGACAATCGCCTTGATCATCCCTCCAGCAACAAAACCTGGTTGCTTCAGTTACGCACCCAAATTTTCCACTCCGATTCTGCTCTCTGGAAGCATAGCACCATGCAGCACCTGAACGGGCACTTGCCCAATCCAATGGCGGCGAGCTTCCCTTTTGGCGTTACTCTTTCCCCCTGCTTCGCTCCACAAGCCATGGCCTTTGCAACCACACCAAACGCGGTAGCCCCAACACTACCCATCCCACTACCTGGTCAGCAGCAAGTTGGTTCTGCCAACCAACGAGGGACTTTAGGATCCCGGAGCGGTGTCTGCGCAGCGAAGCACATGGAAGCGGAACAAAGACGTCGAGCCAGAATCTCTGACAGGTGCGCGGACAGTTCCAGTAGATTCAAGTTCTTGCTTTTTAATGTCTTAATTCAATGTATTCACATTCCTTTTTCCCCCGTGTTTCAATTTCAGCATTGACGCACTTAAACGACTAGTTCCGCACCAGGGGCGGACCAACACGGCAGCCTTCTTAGCGGAGGTGTATGACTACATCGAATCCCTGCACTCGCGCATTCGACGCATCGAGGACTCTACAAACTCCACAGAGCAGCCCTCCGTTCCCGCCGCTGGAGCCAACGCAGCCGACAGCGTCACTGCGCCGCCGCAAACAGCAGTGGCTCCCAACCTTGATGACGAGCCCGCAGCGGAGGAGGCGGACGGGGGAATGGTGGGACGGGCTCAAGGCGTGGGAGGCGTCTTCCGCGCCGGGCAAGAGGACGAGGAACAAGCTCATTGTGACGTCGACGACCAGCACCGCGAGGGCTTCGATCTGAACATGATAGCCGTGGAAGGGACGGCCCGAGAGGGCGGCGAGCCCGTGGACGCTAGCGCCGCTGGCTTAAAGACCGTCATCGCCGCAGGGTTAGCAGGGACGAAGCGGCGACGAGGCAGCGATTCTTGTACCGCGAAGGCCGCGCCTGGCGAATGTGGACAAGACCAAACCGCCGGCACGCCGTGGTGGCTACGTGACAACGCGCTCAAGGCGAATACGGACGATGCTCGGCGGCAAGGTGGTGAAGCGGCCGCTGTCACAGTGCAGAGGCAACAGGTGGACGGCGACGGGTGGACGGACGAGCTGCCTCAACTCGCTCCTTCCCCCGAGCATCCGCGCCAGCAACCGGAGCATCAGCAGAGCAACGATGGCGTGTCCGCGACCTCGCACCCTTCAACAGCACCTCTGCCGCTTGCCGCTCCACTCTCCGCGTCCACGTCTCCTTCTTGCTCCGCTGGTGGCTCTGCTGCGCGGGCTGCCTCCCCCAAGCCTCGCCGACGGGGTCCTGCGCCAGGCAAGGGTCGTCGCGGGCGGGCAGCGCTGGGCGCGTGTGCGCGGACAGAGATAACGCCGTCGCCGCTGAACAGCACTGGAGGCAATGGCTGCGCGGTGGAGGAGACGGAAGATGCGGCGAAACGGAACGCAGCTGGTGCTCATGCGGGCGCCGCAGAGACCACCCAGCCTCGGGAAAATGGCGACGGCGATGGAGACGGTGAACTGGACGCTGCGGTGGAGGCGGCATCGGTGCTGGCGATGGTGGGGTCGTCATGGTGTGATGCTAGCCAGCCCAACAACACACACACCCCCGCCGCTGCTCCAGCTGACGCTCCCATGCTTGCCGCCGCTGCGGCTCCCGTTGCTCGAGTCGCTGGACCTGCCAACCAACGACAGGCGCCACTGAAGCCAAAGTGAGTGCTTCAATGCTGGCCGTCGCTGCTGTTCCTTGGCATGCTTGATGTGGTCAAGTCGACTTTTCGTTTTTTGCTGTGCTATGACTCATGTTGTGCATCCTCTTTGTTGTCTCGTGGTTCTGCTTTACAGGCAACGACATCTTCAATCAGCTCGTCTACAGCCACTAGCTGCTGCCCCAGCTTCCACAGTTGCAACATTGCCGTTTGGTCTCTCGTCCTTCTCAATGCAGCTTCCCATGTTCACCACCATGCAACCCGCTGCACTGCCTGCTGTCCAGCATCCTTCATTAGCTTCTGCGGCAGCAGCGGCTGCAGATGCAGCAGCTGTGGCGCAGCAGTGGGGAATGGCAGCTGCTGCCGCCCATATCCAAGCGCAGGCAGCAGCGCAAGCTCATGCCCAGGTGCAAGCGCTCATGCAAGCAGTGGCTGCGTCAGGAGGCGCTTCCCCAAATAACGGTGGTGCCCTGCTCCCCGTCACGCTGCCTTCAGCATCTCCCACATCGTCGCCTGCCCTTGTATCCGAAGTGGCTCCTTTGGCTAATGGGGGCGAAGCTGCAAACCCTGCTGCAGTGCCAGCCTTGGATTCTGTTGCTGGAAACCCCACCAGGCAGGAGGAAGAGGCTGGGAGGAAAAGAAGACGGCGAGCTGGAGGGCAGGCAAAGGCTGTTTAACAGCTTGTATGTGTGAAGTTCCTTGCATGCTGACTATTGAAATAGCTGTGCCAAACATGCAGCCTCTGCCTGGGTTTATAGTACTAGTTGAATCCACTCTACTTGCCTAATGATCTATAAAATAATGTGTCCATCTGAAGTGTGAACCTGGTCGCTAGAGCGTGATTCTACGGCCCCTTCCGAGTAGGATTTCACGTCAATTTCGCGTCAAATTACGTCGCACTGGAGCGCGAGAGTCTGGGAAGAGGTTGGCTTGGGGGGGAAGAGGCTGTAGGAACACGCTATTACCATTTCGGATTGCGGCACACCCATCGCCATTGATTGGCAGAGTACCGCATCATCGGCTGATCGGCTGCCACGTTCACACACACGCTATTTCTGCAGAGAGCCAAACGGGCATTGCGTCAGGCCTTCTGTTCCGAACTTCATCTGCGGATCTGTTAGTTAGCTGAGGCCGGTCCAGCAGACTCGCACATGCTTGCTTCTCGTGCTGGATTTCTCCTTCGGCCTCCTCCTGAACACGCAACCCACGAGATGCTTCGCTGCTCACCGCCCTCTCGACTCCACCGACCACACGCTTCCAGTCTCGGGAATATTCGGCCATCTGCTTTTTCTGACGCGTTTCAACGGCATCAGTGCTGCCCCTGGCTGGGCGCCCGCGGCAATATTCTTGTCTCGCGCTCACGCTCCCTCGCGTCGACATTTGCCGAAACACCGTTGGTCGTAGATACAGACGCGCTCCACGCTCAACGGAGCGGACTGTCGCACCCAGCTGTAGCGAAGGTTCCAGGAAGTAGATCGGGAAAGGGTTCCGCAGCGGGATCAGCGCAGGCGTTCTTCTCTCGCAGCAAGGCGGGCAGCATGGCGGACGGAGCGGACTCCGCAACCAACCGGTCCAAGGTGAGGAATGGCCTTTCGCTTCTCGTCAGCTAAACTTCGCTGGTGGTCCGCCTACCTTGGTCGCGGAACTTGCGCTTTCAGATCCGCTCCTCTTAGCAATGCATCTTCATATTCGAGATACGCCTCTCCTGTTCTTTCCCACGAAACATGGAGAACCAATCGTGCTCTCGCATTTCCTCTTTCCTTCCCTCTTCTTCCTCCTTCCCCCCAACCTCCTCCTCCGTACCAGTTGCTGGTGGTGACGGGAGCGACCAAGGGTCTGGGCCGTGCACTGGTGCTGGAGCTTGCAAAGCGGGGCCATAGGGTGGCGGGGTGTGGGAGGGACGCAGCGAAGGTGGAAGAGGTGCGGCGACTGCTGGATGACACTGGCGTGCCGGCGGCAACGGCTGCTGCTGCTGCTGCTTCTCCTTCCAGGCACCTTATGGCTGTGGTGGACGTGGTGAGTGTTAGCTCTTGCCAGCAGCTCAAGTGGATGGTACATTTGGAACATTTGGAGTTTGGTGCGTGGCAATGCTATTGACGCAATGTGAGCAGTCAGGTTGATTCCATTGTTTGAACATGAAACTTGATTCAAGGCGGCCAAACTTGGTCCGTGGTCGATGTTGAAGTATGTGTCTGCGTTGCATTCCTATGTGGTTGCAGGCATCAGATGATCAAGTGAAGGCCTTTGCTGGAAATGTCATCTCAACTCTTGGAGTGCCCGATATAGTAGGTCAGCCTCCCTCAACCCGCCTTCTGTATTTTGTCGTCGCTGCTTCGCCCCTAAACTTTACTCGTTTAGCGCCCTTGGATTAGACTTTCACCCAAGGTTCCCCACCCCCCCCACCTTTCTCTCTCCCGCCTCCACACCCCCCACTCTTCTGCACCAGTGAACTGTGCAGGACTGATCAACGTGAACAACCGGCTGTGGGAGGTGCCTCGAGACGAGGTGGATCTGGTCCTGGACGTGAACATCAAGGGCACCATCAACGTCATCCGCCACTTTGCCCCCACCATCGTGGAGAGGCGCCAAGGGGTGTTTGTGAACTTCTCATCTGGATGGGGTCGATCTGCTGCAGCGGAGGTGAGCTCATCTATGTTGGAAAATACACGTATTGCGTTTTATACGCTAGCGTATATACGCTTGCCTATATACGCTATACGCTTGGGTTTGGGGTCCAATACGGCAGGAATACGGCTGCCCGGGCAGCGGAATTTTTTTGCCCGGGCAGGCAAGAAAGAACTGGCGGGCAGCCGGGAGAGGGGGGGGGGTGCAGGGCATCAAGTTGATTTTTTCTTTCTCCATTAAAAGAACTTCACACAGGAATTTGTCACATCAAGAGTTTATCCAGGACCACATTCCCCCCCCCAAACACCACATCCCAGCAAAACTCCACCAGCCCAATCCCCCCTGCCACTGCTAGCACTGCTGCTACTACTTCTACAGCTGCTGCAGCCACTCTCACCCATTGCTGCTGCTGACTGGTCCACTGCTGCTGTCTGGTCCACTGCGGCTGCTGTTACTCCCACTGCTGCAGCTACCTGCCCCCCTGGTGCTGCCGCTGCTGCTGCCATTCCCGCTGCAGCTGCCTCTGGTGACGGGTCTACTGGTACTCGTCCTCCATGACGAGATCCTCCCCCCCCTCCGCCTCCAGGTCGTCCTCCAGGTTGTACCCCATGGGCACAGGGGCCTCGGAGCTGCACCCAGGAAGGACCAAGGACCCCCCGTCCTCCTTGTGCCAGTTGTGGACCTGGTGCCAGTTGTGGGACACATAGACCAGGTCCCGACACTTTTCGGCACCGAGGCGGTTGCGCTTGGCAGTGTGGACCGCCTCCCACACTGCCCAGTTACGCTCGCATGCAGCCGCTGATACGGGCTGTGAGAGCACCCGACAGGCCAGAGCGGCAAGCTCAGGGTAGTCGGACCCGTGCCACTGCCACCACTGCGCCATGCTCTGCCTCCTCTCCTTCACTGCTGCACGATCAGCAATGGCGGTGGGGAGCCGGAAGCTGCTCTTCAGAGTGATGAAGGCGTTGAGGCCTTCCTGCATCACGAGGGTTGCACGAATGGGCTCGCCATCCCTCATGAACTCCTTGTCTTCGTAGTGGCGGGCGATGAAGGCTTTGAAGACCCTCGTGCACTCCATGTCCGAGGGGAAATTCCCTTCCCCTGATTGGCCGGGTTCAGGATGCGGCCGACCTCATGGAGGGGGCACGCCATGCTGCTGTCCCACCTCCTTTTCACGATGTGGCGGATGGCATTGGCGTCCGCAGCGGTGAGCCCCTCCAGCCGCACCTCCTCCAGCTTCTCATCGACATCAACGGTAAGCTGCAGCATACGACCCATCATGCCCTTCGCCGACGAGTCGGTGGCGCGCATTGCCATGAACGGCAGCCGCATGAGGGTGACAAACTGCAGGGCCTTGGTCCACCAGTGGGAGTCGAGTATGGCAGCGCTGAACGCCTCGCTGCCCGGCTTCCTCCCCCCAGCCGCGAACCTGGCCCACTCCTCACTTGTGATGAGTGAGGGACATCCGCACCTCGCACAGCGGGGACACGGAGATGAACTGGGTGCCGAAACGCGTGCCGGCCGGTTGCAAATTTGGCCTTTATTCAAATGATAATCGCCGATAATTTGTTGGCTTGTAGCTTGCCTTGCAATCGCAGCCTTGATTTGCGTTGTTCCCACCAGGTGGGTCCCCATTGTTCCTAACATAGGCAGTGGAGGAAGTGACCATATCGTTGGCTTAAAAGTACCATTGGTTCTTCTCCTCTGCACCCGTGCACCAGGTGGGGCCATACTGTGCATCCAAATGGGCGGTGGAGGGTATGACCAAGTCGTTGGCGCGAGAGCTGCCGGGTGGGTGTGTGGTGGTGGCTCTCAATCCCGGAGTCATCAACACTGCCATGCTGCACTCCTGCTTCGGCCCCTCTGCTGCCATGTACCCAACAGCCGAGGAATGGTGAGTGAGGGAGGCATGATTTCACTTGTGAAGAAGGTTACCCCTTGGGTGCAACCTTTAATGGGTGCTAGCTGTTTGACATGGAGCTGTGTGTGTTTATTTCCCCGCGCATTCCTGCACTTCACTGACCTACAGGGCTCCTCGGTGTGCTTCTCTCATCCTTGGCTTGAAGCCGTCTGATAACGGTGCTTCTTTGACGGTGTAGCTGTCCTCATATGCTGTCCTTGGCTTGATAGCCGCTCCTTCCTTGGGTTGAGTTTGTCTGTTACTCCCTAGAAGGGGGGAGAGTGTAAGGGATTATGATATACTTATCCAGGTTTTAGCTACTAAAGCGTTACTGCCATAACGGGTTTGTCGTGCAGCTCTGCCATGAAAATTAGATCGCAGCACCCAAATGTGGCCCTCTGCCGAGCCGCATACAATTTGCACGCCTCGTAGAGTCCTGTGTGACAAATGCGCTCTGCACCAATTTACAGCCACACGTGCCGTATCAGCTCTGCCGAGCCTTGACCGGGTGCTCTAGGCCTAGCTATATTCTAGCTCTAGGTTATTTTTATGTTGCCTCAGTATATTATTTTCCTTGTTACCTACCTATATTCTGTTGGAAATATCTCAAGGACTTAAGCGTTTCTGAAGTGTAACACTGTACTCGAGGAAGATTACAGGGGAGCACGCGAGTCAACGGAGGTTACACGAGGGGGCGGACAAAGAATGCGAAAGGACTCGAAAGGTCGCAACTGGAGGTTGCGACTGACCGTTACAACATCACGGATGGTAACCGAAGCGGCAATCGAGTCGCTGTGCGACTCGATAAACCGTTCCTGTAACTGTATTCTACAACTGCTTTCTTATCTTCTATATATTGCTGTATGCTTGTTTCTTTAATCAATCACTTGTTCTCACATACTAGTACAAGGGTTCAACTGCCTCAACTTCCGCTGCACTACTCCAAGTCTCAAGTCTCTACAGCTGGGACTTAGTCTCTGCAAAAGATCCTAAGGGTTTTTTTTTCAGCCCAACATGGTATGAGAGCTGGTCAGAGACCAAACTCCCAGCAACTACGTCCTATCAACAACCTGCAACTCAACTCAATTCAACGACTTCATTGATTACAAGACATGGACAACAAGGGCAAGAAAGTCTCTACGGGCTCACCCAGCGCCCAAGAAACTCAACACGGCAACTCTGGTCTGCACACCTCAGGACTGCAGACAGAGACCGGGACTGCTCAAGAAACAACGGGAAGAGTACCAGAGATGGTGACCCCGTCTCCCTCTTCAAGTGTGGACCCGAATCTCATGGAGAGATTCTTCAGCTTCATGTCACACTTCGATCAGCAGCAGCAGACAAGGACACCTGCGCACTCAACACAGAGCAATGGAGGGAATATGGGATTAGCGCCGATGAGCCTCGACAACTCATCCTTCGGGCGACACAATCAAGCGCCTACCTTTGCGCCTTATCATTCTTCGCCGGGGACGTTCGAATTCATGCCGCCCCGTGCCCAGCCAACAGCAGCTGCTTCACAACAAACACCGAATGAAATCTTAAGTTTACAGGCGCAGTTCTCACACGTGATCAAACTTCAGACATCCTCACCGTTCAACGGACACGACTTCTTTACCTGGAGCTTCGAGTTCGAGCTGCTGATGGAGGCCGCGCATCTTCTGGGATACTTCAACGGGTCCCTGCCATTCCCAAGCAACGGCACTGGGAAGGAACAAGAAATCTTCACGTATCAGTCGCTGCTGGCGTATACGGTACTCCTGAGAAACCTGTCACCACAAGAGCAGCAGAGCATCAGAACGTATCGAAGTTATGGAAACTCCGCGGAACTCGCATGGCATCATCTCAAGTGCCTCTATCAAGCAAACGACAGCGTGACACAAAGCAGACTCATGCAACAGCTGACAACAATACAGATGAAGACCGGGGAAAAGGCGATGCAGTATATGAGTCGCTGCCAGACCCTCCGCGACCGCCTGCTTCGGTGCGGAGGAACGATCACTGAAGAAAGCTTCGTGACACTTGTCCTCGCCGGGCTCGGGCCAGAATGGAGAACCACACGATCACTTCTTCGAGCCCACGGAAGAATTTCGGAGATGCACCTCTGCGCCGAGCTTCACGCTGAACAACAGGAGATGGATCTGTTCGAGGAAAGACAACCAAGGAAGCAACAGCAGTTAGTCTTCTACACTCAAAGAAGAAATGACAACAACTACAACCGACGCAGCAAGCAAGATCAACGTGACAACCGAGGACTCACCATCGTGCCGCCGTTCTGCCACAACTGTCAGACTTCCGGGCACTCCAAGGTCAACTGCAACCGCCCTCGCGTTTACCGTGCAGCAGACCCACAAGTCGCTTCCACTCAAGCAAGTCCTCCAAGGCGCTCTTCAACATCTGCACAACAAACACCCAACATCATCAACTGCATGGTACACATCGACAACTGCGCACCCGCTTCACCACCCACTTACGCACCAGACGAAGAGGAATTCCCGCCGCCGCGCTCGCAAGGACTTCAGGTCAACCCGACATACGCTGCAGTCGCTAACGCCGAACCCACCGGGCGGAACACCTGGTTCTTGGACAGTTGCTGCGGTCAGCACATGTGCTCCTCCGGACGCTTCGTACAACACGAGCGACGCCTCAACCGTGACGTCGTCATCACCGTCGCCAACAACGAAAACCTGAAAACAGATAGACAAGGCGTGGTTCAGTTACAATCAATGGAGACAAACGTTATTCTTCAGCTCAACAAGGTCCTCATCGTCGACAATCTGGGATACAACCTATTAAGCGTAAGCCAACTAATGGCTAAGGGGATTCACCTGGAGTGCGACTCCTTCTCCAACGAGTTCCGACTTTACCACGGGAAGGGCGGTCTCTTCATCGGTCGTGCCCTCCTGAAGTCCGGTGTCTTCGTGTTGGACTTCGTCCCCGACCGCGGAACTGCCGACAGCGATGGCATCGTATCGTTCGCCGCCTGGACTCACCCACCAGATCTTGATCCCGACTTCGACAGTGACGGCTTCTGGCACTCCAACACCATACCTGCAGCAGAGAGAACACGGGCATTAGCAGTTATCAGACAAGAAAGACAAGTACCAGCAAGCGTCCCAACAAAACCATCACCTGCAGTATCGGCAGCAGGACCCAGCCGAGTACCACCACCAGCGACACGAGGACAGCCAACCGAAGCAGACCAACTTATGCCCGCCACACGAGAAGCTTGTCGAAGTCCCGCCTCGGTCGTCGCGTTCTTCTCCAACGCCGACATCTACCACCGCTCGCCCGGTCACCGCGCTCCCGACGACATCTGGCACCAACGTCTCGGACATCCTGCAAACAGCACGATACTTCAAACAATCCAAGCAGAAGTGTTAGAACGCAACGCCCTTCTGACGACGAGCGGCCAGGAACTCCGACGACCACGCGCACGATGCTTCACGTGCCCCGAAGCAGATCTTCCTCATCAACCTTTCCCAGCCCATCACAATCCAAGCGCACCCACTTACGCTCCGATGGAAAAGGTCTACAGCGATATTCTAAACATGCCTCGAGACGACACCGAAGCCGACTTCAACTACGTCATCACGTTCATCGACGCCGCAACCAGATACGTCTGGCACTTCAATCTCAAAACGCGCGATCAAGCCTTCGAGGCCTTCACCACATGGCTTCCAATCGCCGAACGAGAGTCAGGAACCAAACTCAAGAGTTTCCAGTCAGACGGTGCACTGGAATACCAGTCACAACGCTTCAGGACCTATCTCGCGGAAAGGGGAATCCGACGCCTGGTGTCTCTGCCCTATGCTCACCAGCAGCAGGGGGTAGCAGAACGCATGAACCGGACCTTGCAGACGACGATGCGAAAACTGCTTCTGGGGATGAGGCTGCCCAACGCACTGTGGCCAGACGCGATGACACATGCAGTCCACCTGCACAACCTGTTGTCCTCGTCATCGCTCCCCAACAACGCATCACCACACCTGCTGTGGACGGGAAAAAGGGGCAGCACAAAATTACTTCGAGTTTTCGGCTGCATGGTACAATACAGACCCCACACAGCTCGAGCAGGACGCTTCACTCAACGAGCTCGGTGGGACTACACCTCGGCATCGCCAAACATTTTCACGCGTGGAAGATTCTCGACATACACGACAAAAATACGGTGGCATCACGTGATGTTATCTTCTACGAGCGACTGACGCTGCAGCATTACCTGGACAACATTGCCAACTCAGACGACCCCACCGACGGCTTCGCGGGCCTTCGCTCCTTCGCTGACCATGCTGCCGAGGCTGACGCAGCAGAAGAAGACGTCCCTGGAGCCTCGGAGGCTGCCGGACCACTCCCCTACTGCTCCGTACCTGTTCCACTCGATGAAGATAATCCCCTCGATAGCAACAACCTCGACACCTTTTACCACTTCGCTGACCAAGGCTACGCTACACCACACCCCGTCGACTCGAATATTTCCGAACGCATCGGGCCAAACTTCTTACCCGATCCTGAAGACGGTGATGAAGCAGCTTATCCCGAGAATGAAAACTCCCCTCGACACACAGCCACGGGACTGCAGATCCTAGGACTATGGGTCTCCGTCCAGCACCCGCCGCCGCCTTCTCCGCGCGAGCCGTCGACCCTGTCGCAGGCTCTGGGGGGGGAACATAAGGCACAATGGAAGGAAGCGATGGAAAAAGAGTTAAAAGCTCTGCAAGACCGAGAAACATGGAAACTGGTACCTGCAACGAGCATCAACGGGAAGAACATTCTCTCGGGGAAATGGGTGTACCGCATCAAGACCAACTCAGACGGCTCCATCGAACGATTCAAAGCTCGATGGGTCGTACGAGGCTTCGATCAACGATACGGAACCGACTACACAGAAACCTTCGCTCCAGTCTCCCGTCACACCTCTCTGCGCATCCTACTCGCCATCGCGGCCACGAAGAAACTACCACTACGGCAAATCGACGTTGCAAACGCCTTCTTGTACGCACCTGTGGACGCCGAAATCTTCGTCGAACAACCCCACGGATTCATCGACGACCCTTCAAAAGTATGCCAGCTGGAAAAATCCCTTTACGGGATCAAGCAAGCCCCACGGCTCTGGCAGCAGCACCTTCACGGCCGGCTCGTAAAAATCGGATTCCTACAGCTACCACATGACCAAGGCATGTACCGACTACAGAAGGGAAGAGATTACATTCTGCTCATCGTCTACGTCGACGACCTGCTCTACATCGGTTCTACCACCGACATCGTCACCTGGTTCGAAGGGGAGCTGAAAAGGGACCTGACGCTCACGGTGTCCGACGAAGTTACCCAGTACCTAGGACTGAACATCGTCGAAGACGACACGGCGTTCTACCTACACGCTGGAAAGTACTCAAGCACCGTCGCGAAGAAATTCGGTCTAGCACCGACTGCGGTCCCAACTCCCTACCGCTATGGGAACAACAGTAGCGCCTCCACAAAACTCCCCGCGAAACAAATCCAGGAGTATCAACAGAAGCTCGGCTGCCTACTATTCGCAGCAGTAACCTGCCGACCCGACCTATCCTATAGTGCGAGTCAGCTGGCGACACATCTGAAGCAGCCGCAACAGGAAGATCTCGAAGAACTCAATCGAGCGCTACTCTACTTCGTCTCCACGCCGACGATCGGGCTCACCTACAGCAAGGCAACAACACCGTCCGTACAACTACTCGGATACGTCGACGCCGACCACGCGGGAGACAGCGAAAATCGACGGTCTAGGACGGGCTACATCTACCGACTAGAACCTATCGGAACTATCTCCTGGCAGTCGAGCAAGCAGGAGTTAATCGCACTATCCTCGGCTGAAGCAGAGTATATCGCCCTTTGTACTGCGACCAAGGAAGGACTCTACCTACGAGAGTTACTCGAAGAAGCGAAGATCGCGACCCTGCCCGCCTTCTCACTCCTCTGCGACAACCAATCTGCGATCAAAATCGCGAACAAGGACGGCTTCGCCAACCGAACCAAGCACATCGCCCTGCGGTACTTCTTCGTCAAGGATGAAATCGCGAAGGGGAGACTTCAACTCAGTTACTGCCCGACGACAGAAATGGCCTCAGATTATCTGACAAAGAAATTGGCGAAAGCAAAATTCGACTACTGCATGCTCCTAACCGGGCAAACAAACGTCACCGGATCTGAACACTCCAGCACTCCAGAAACGAAGGGGAGTGTTGGAAATATCTCAAGGACTTAAGCGTTTCTGAAGTGTAACACTGTACTCGAGGAAGATTACAGGGGAGCACGCGAGTCAACGGAGGTTACACGAGGGGGCGGACAAAGAATGCGAAAGGACTCGAAAGGTCGCAACTGGAGGTTGCGACTGACCGTTACAACATCACGGATGGTAACCGAAGCGGCAATCGAGTCGCTGTGCGACTCGATAAACCGTTCCTGTAACTGTATTCTACAACTGCTTTCTTATCTTCTATATATTGCTGTATGCTTGTTTCTTTAATCAATCACTTGTTCTCACATACTAGTACAAGGGTTCAACTGCCTCAACTTCCGCTGCACTACTCCAAGTCTCAAGTCTCTACAGCTGGGACTTAGTCTCTGCAAAAGATCCTAAGGGTTTTTTTTTCAGCCCAACATATTCATCCTTCGTTATTTGTCCCATTACAACTAGTTCGCTCATAACATAACAGGTAACTCATGCTGTAACTTTCTACTACATTTATGTTGCTCCGGCCCAACCTGTAAGGAATTTTCAATTCTTACCGAGCGATACTGCTATCGCGTACGTTCAAACCCATCCGAAGCCTCGGTTCGGTTTTGGACCTTTCTGACAGAACCGCCTCGGCTTTTCCATACCTTCCTTCAAGAGTTCTCAGGGTCTCACTTCGCCACTTTCGCGGCCTTCGATCTCCTTCTCGAAACCTCGCATCTCACGGCTTAACTAGCTCTGGTGTTCCTATATCTTGGCTTGCCATTCCTTGTATCGTCATTCATTGATTCAACACTTCAATATTCATTTCGTGCCACCCTGCTTGTTCATTCATAAGACACCCGATATGGAAGTTTGAGCAGCCCAGTTGGACACAACAACTCGCCACGAAAAATTGACACAGGGGTTTGAGGGGATCAGCCCAAGCAGGTTCAACCTTCGATCATGGAACCACGTCAGTCTTCTCAGAACCAAAACTGCTTAGTTTGGCATGCTTCCATGTCTACGTGGAGCGGGTCTCGAAATTGACGTGCCTCCAAGTCAGCCTCGTTCGATCTTGTTCGGCATGCGGCATTTCAGCTCCATGCGGCTCGAGTGACCACTGCTGTGCATTTCCGGCTGGACGGTTCAGATGATGCGATGCGCCTCCTTCCGAGCCTGTTAGGTCTCATCCACCGTCCTTTATTTCCTCTGAGAAATGCTGGCTGGTTCCGCGAGACTCGATTGGGCTTGGTTTTTTGGGGGTGGTGGGGGGGACTTCCGCAAGAACGCTAATCAGCACGGAGCAATCTCCAACCGTTTCCCCCGTTCTCAAACCACCCTCGCCCACAGTCTAGGGCGTTCCCCCATTACTGTACAGTACTCGGCTCATTCCTCCTGAGCGCACCATTCTCCTGCCGCCTCTCCGCGCCCCTTGGCTCTGTGGAGTCAATTGTTCCCCCCACCCGCCTTGTTTGTCCGCCTCCACCACCGCAAGGGAACGAATGTCACGGTCGAGTGCTCATTCATCGCGTCGCGAGTTTCTCCCCTCCCTCAATCCAACCACGGAACGGCGCACATTCCCCGACCACCCAGTTCCTGTCCGCAACCCCCCACTTTCCACCCGCCATGCCCCGTGTTACCTTCCCCCCGATTCCCCCCCCATTCATCCCCCCATTTCCCCAACATCCAGCTTTCCCCTCAAGGGGTTTGCCCCATTCGCCTGCACATCAATGTGTCCACCCCAACATTGCGCCCAAATCCGCCCCTACTCCCTATCCAACCTCTCTCCCCCGCTGCTCTCCGCACACACTCCCTCCCTTTCCCCTCTCCTCCGCTAACCTCTGCCCTCAGCCCAGCAGCACCAAGACTCTAATCAGCTCTAGAATTCTACAAGCTACCACCTTCAGGCTTGTAACTACGCGCTTCGGCCGTGTTTGCTCAGTTCACGGCCATCTGAGCCGGGGTGCGCACGCCTGTCAGCATGTGCAGAGGCCCAACTGCACCAGCGGAATTGGAGGAGGCACGGTTCAGACAGCTATGGTTCAAGCGCGCTTTCTTCCCTGATCAGCTTTTTCCTGCTGACGTGTCGTGGCGATTTCCAGAGAATGCCGTCACCGAACTTTTTCCGGAAATGTCGTCCAAATTGGTAAGCCTGGTCGTACATTCTGATCACCTCCCCGTTGGCCGCACCGCTCTGATCCCGTCATATGGTGATCTCGCATGGCTTTCTCGGTACCGCGTATCGCAAATTTCCATCCTTGTTCCCATCTCCCCCTCTTCCCCCCATCCTTGTTGCAGAGCTGCCGTCAAGAAGAAGATGGGGACAAGCTTTCGGAGCGCGACCTCCTCGGTCTCGACGTCATGCCTCCGCGCATTCCCACTGCAGCCAAGGACAAGGCCTCCGACGCGCGTTGCCCTCGCGCTGCCGACGAGGACGAGGAAGGCGACGACGACGACGACGACGACGACGATGACGACGACGACGACGACGACGGCGATGATGACGATGGCGACGATGGCGACGATGGTGGCGATGGCGACGATGGCGGCGATGGCGACGGTGACGAGGAGGGAGCAGGGGACGACAACGGCGATGGCGACGAGGGGGATGATGGCGGAGATGAGGAGGCGGGCGGGGAGGGGGAGGAAGAGGGCGGAGGGGAGGAGGAAGAGGGCGGGGGAGAGGAGGAAGAGGGCGGGGGAGAGGAGGAAGAGGCCGGGGGGGAGGAGGAAGAGGCCGGGGGGGAGGAAGGAGACGGGCAGGAAGGCGAGGGGGACGAGGAGGATGGCGATGGCGGGGAGGAGGAGGAAGGGGACGAGGGGTATGGTGATGGGGAGGGGGAGGGGGAAGAGGGCGATGAGGAGGGAGATGACGAGGGGGACGAGGGGGAAGGGGACGATGACGCTGACGGGGGGGATGACGACAATGATGATGATGATGATGATGACGACGATGACGACGATGACGACAATGACGACGATGATGACGAGGACGCCCCTGCGCCAAAGAAAGCCAGACATTGACTCTGCCATTCTGGCTGCCTTTGTTTCCCCCGTCTATCGCACATCCATGGGCTTTACTCCCTCGCCTCTATCTTCGTCTCTCCGTCAGCCTCTGTCCTTCCCAGGCACTTGAAGACGCAGGTGCGCACGCCACGTTGAGTCTAGTGCGTGAATCGCTTCCCACAATTAATCGCGCTCAAGCGCACCTGCTGCTGGCCGGCTCCTCTGCAAGATGCCCACCTGACCTGATGCACCCAGTCCATGGGCACGCCTGTCCACCTCTCATCTCGTGATCTCCTTGCATGACTACCGTAGACCCTAATTCCGTCAGTGTTATCATTTGTACCCCGACCTGTGCTGGCCGTGTGTCTATAGCAGCCAGCTTTGGTGTAGTCTGTGTTTGCTTGACATGAGTTGACCATGGTTTGTACGGTAGGATAGATGTGTAGTGCATGATGACATCTGACTAGCCACTTGTCCCCCTCATCTGAAATCTGAAGTGTGAAGATGCAGGGAGATAAAATAGCAAGTGAATGCTTGACATGCTCACTGCACCACTGGCTGCCATCTTCTCTGCTAGGCAGTTGCTGTACCAGGCTGGTGCCTGTCTTTTATCTACCATCTAGTAGTAACTCCTACAGCTGCCCCCCCACATCAGTTACCTATCTTCGTGCTGTTCCCTCCCGTTGCAATTCAGAAGACACGAATGAGGCGAGCAGCATCAATAATGCCTTGTAACTGTGAGAACCTATGCAGACCATCAGGTGGGTGGTGGCAGGAGCACTGCATAACACAGCCCAGCGCCTGCTGTGTTGTTCTCCCGGCAGCACTGGCAGCCCTTAGAACACAGGACCCTCTGGCAGGCCACGCACAGGGGGGGGATGGGCCAGAGCGGGGAGGGGAATGTGAGCGCATGAAGCAGGCTGAGAGTAACGCGTGCAGCAAAAGGCGAAGCATGAGAGGAAGGAGATTTAGATGTGCGATGCAGGAGTGGCATGCACATGGCAGGCCTTGCAGCAATGGGTGGGAGTGAAAGATGACTACAGGTGGTTAGTGGCAGTGCGCATGGCAGCAGGCACGTACCGTCAGCGCCATCATCATCGTCCAGGTACTCGTCGTCGTCGTCAAAGCCAAAGTTCTGACACGGCCACGGGGTAAGAGAGAGAGAGAGAAAGAGAGAGAGAGAGAGAGAGAGAGAGAGAGAGAGAGAGAGAGAGAGAGAGAGAGAGAGAGAGAGAGAGAGAGAGGAATGGTGTGGTGTGGAAAGTGGGAGGGAGGAAGAGTGGAGGGGGGAAGGTGGCAACAGCAAGGAAAACGGAACTGCAGACAGATATGTGATGGTCAGAAAACTGGGAAATTGAAGGGGGAAACACAGCACACGCAGGCAGGTGACGGGTATATGGAGAGCTAGAGAGCGCGGTCATACCTGAGCATAGTCATCCTCTCCTATCTCCTCTTCCTCCTCCTCCTCCTCCACCTCCTCATCGTCCTCCCCCTCCTTCTTCTCCTCGTCCTTTCCTTCTCGATCCTGCCATCACATGCACCATGCCACGCTCTTAGCAAGCCAGCACTGCCATGCACAGCACCGCATGGAGCCTTCACACCACCGCGGTTCCGTCAACCATATCCTGCTCCCAGGCATGGCGTCTCCTGAATTGCTGGCGGAAATGGGGAGTGCCTACAGCCCCAGGGGCATGCGCCAATTGCTGGCTGCAAAAAGCAGCAGCACACAGAAAATCATGGGAGTGGAGGTGCGAAGAAGGCAGGGCCATGACCTCACCGCTGCGCTCTTGTCTAGCTTCTGCTCCAACGTTGCAAGCTGGTCCAACCGGTTGAGGTCTGCACGCAGGGAGAACAAACGGTAGACCAACAGCGAGAGACGGAGGAGCACATGGACGGACAGACAGACAGGAGAGGATTGGACATAGAGTCAAGGCAATGGAAGCTTGCACTCTTTCTACAGTCCCCCTACTGCTACAGTCCCCTATTTGTAACCCCTACAGTATACCCATTCATCTACCCTAAAACCTTGCTTCGGATGTACCCAGGTTCCAGTAATACACGGACCGTTTGAGAGTGAGAGTGAGTGAGTGAGAGAGAGAGAGAGGGAGAGAGAGAGAGAGAGAGAGAGAGAGAGAGAGAGAGAGAGAGAGAGAGAGAGAGAGAGAGAGAGAGAGGCAGTGACTGACCATTGGTAGCAGACCCCTTGCCGGTCACCCATGCGTTGCTGCCCTTCTTCCGGACTTTCTTCTTGCCTCCTGCTCGTATCACCGCACAGAAACACACCACGGCAACAACGTTGGCGGTGGCAGCAGAAGAGGAGCCACAGGCCAGGGACAAATGTGCGCACGCAGAAACGGAGCAGGACTCATTATGGCGAGAGGCGGCATGGGGTATGATTGCAGAGAGGAGGTGACGTGCTTGCATAAGCCCAAGCAGCATGGCGTAGCATGGCATGGGAAGGCGCATCCTATGCCATGGCATCACAGCAGGGCATGGCAGGGCGCGCACCAGCAGAGAGGAGTTCAGCGGGGTAGTGGGCGATCGAGAGGTCCATGACGTCAGCGAGCGAGGCACGCGGCGCAGAGGACGAGGGGGCAGTGGCGGCCGCGGTGCTGTGGCGCGCCGTGTACGCTGCTATGTCCGCCGCTACTCCCTCTGCACGCGACTTGGCGGGAAGTTGGGGAACAGCGGGGCGACCAGGGTTCGGGGCGGGGCGGGGGGGTGGAGTGGTTGGGAGAAGAGGGAGGTTGGGGGACGCAGGTGGTAGCGATGGTGGAGGAAGAGCAAAGGTAACATCACGTGGACAGGGATAGACATGGGCATACGGCCGAGCCGGACCCGCCCCACACACCCACCTCATCGCCCCTGCCTCGCCCTGCAGCCAAAACCGACCCACCCCGCCCATCTTCCCCCCACCTCCTTCCCACCCCACCTCCCCCCCCCCCCCCTCCTCCGACCACCTCCTCCCCCACTTCCCCCCTCTCCCCATCCCCTCGACCCGCGCCCCCCGCGCGGCCCTTACTGTCGGGCGCGGGGCGGTCGACGTAGTAGGCGGAGTAGCGCCAGAAGGACGCCATGCGCCGCCGCCGCTGCAGCATCGCCTCGTCCTTAGGGGCTATCTCGGGCAGCTCGGGCAGCATTTCCACGGGCTGGCGGGCAACAACGGTGAGGGGGGAAGGAGTGCGAGAATGCGAGGGGAGCGCATGGGGAGTGGGGGAGACGATCAGGTGTGGAGAGCGCGAGATGACTGGAGTAGCGAGGAGATCAGGTGCGGCGGAGAGGGCTTGCCGGGACGACTCGCGCAATGAGACGGCTTTAGCGGCAGGCCGAGAGGGCACACTACGCGTCCACACGTGGACTATATAAACGACCGCTGCGCACCGGAAACAAGGGCGGGGGCCCTTCGTCGCGACCCGCAAACACGATCGCCCCCTCATCGTCCCGCGCCACTGCGCCAGCCCCGCCGCCCCTCCCCCCGAACCCCCCCCGGCCTCCGCGTCCCCCTCGTCCCCCGCGCCACGCCATGTTCCCCGGGTACTGGGACCGCGGGCCCTCGGGGAGGCGAAAGGTTAAGGCGCGGTCATGTGGCTAGAGACCACCGCGCAGCACACCTAACAGAGAGAGGCGTTAGGTTCACAAACGCGGCGAGTTAAAGTCTAATTGCCACCCTGATGTGCCAACCGCAGATCTATAACGCGGAAGCACGTTGCGGATCTGCAGAGAGGCTTCTACAGTTTTGCTGGTGGCGACTTGCGGCTCGATGTACTTGACCTAGCTGAGTGTCTAGGGCTTCGGGTTTATGGTTCTGTGGTCCAAGCATTGTTGCAGAAACTGTAAAGAGTTGTGTGGTACAGCCTTTCTCCGAAATATCGTGGGCCTCATACTGGGTGCCCTAATATCGAGAATCGCTTTGCAATTGAGTGTGACTGAAGTTTCTCTGAAGAGTCTCTGGGTCCTTGCTTCTTCACTTGGACAGGGCTCCTTCTGGACGTCCACGTGTCAGACGCTCTTAGGACAACAAGGCCTTGAAGGGATGCTGTCACCCTTCCTGTCCAATGCCAGCATACTTCTGCTGATGGTGCATGACCTGAATGATTCCGTTTCGCGTACCACGCGCCATCAAGTGTAACCAGACCCTTCCGCGACATCCAGATTCAGCTTGTAACCCACTGTGCGGTAATCTCGTTGTTTCGTCAAGCAACTCACCTGTCGCCCTTCAGATGCTTTCCGCAATTTCGGCTTGTTGGGCTGAGAAAAGCCCTTAGGATCTTTTGCAGAGACTAAGTCCCAGCTGTAGAGACTTGAGACTTGGAGTAGTGCAGCGGAAGTTGAGGCAGTTGAACCCTTGTACTAGTATGTGAGAACAAGTGATTGATTAAAGAAACAAGCATACAGCAATATATAGAAGATAAGAAAGCAGTTGTAGAATACAGTTACAGGAACGGTTTATCGAGTCGCACAGCGACTCGATTGCCGCTTCGGTTACCATCCGTGATGTTGTAACGGTCAGTCGCAACCTCCAGTTGCGACCTTTCGAGTCCTTTCGCATTCTTTGTCCGCCCCCTCGTGTAACCTCCGTTGACTCACGTGCTCCCCTGTAATCTTCCTCGAGTACAGTGTTACACTTCAGAAACGCTTAAGTCCTTGAGATATTTCCAACACTCCCCTTCGTTTCTGGAGTGCTGGAGTGTTCAGATCCGGTGACGTTTGTTTGCCCGGTTAGGAGCATGCAGTAGTCGAATTTTGCTTTCGCCAATTTCTTCGTCAGATAATCTGAGGCCATTTCTGTCGTCGGGCAGTAACTGAGTTGAAGTCTCCCCTTCGCGATTTCATCCTTGACGAAGAAGTACCGCAGGGCGATGTGCTTGGTTCGGTTGGCGAAGCCGTCCTTGTTCGCGATTTTGATCGCAGATTGGTTGTCGCAGAGGAGTGAGAAGGCGGGCAGGGTCGCGATCTTCGCTTCTTCGAGTAACTCTCGTAGGTAGAGTCCTTCCTTGGTCGCAGTACAAAGGGCGATATACTCTGCTTCAGCCGAGGATAGTGCGATTAACTCCTGCTTGCTCGACTGCCAGGAGATAGTTCCGATAGGTTCTAGTCGGTAGATGTAGCCCGTCCTAGACCGTCGATTTTCGCTGTCTCCCGCGTGGTCGGCGTCGACGTATCCGAGTAGTTGTACGGACGGTGTTGTTGCCTTGCTGTAGGTGAGCCCGATCGTCGGCGTGGAGACGAAGTAGAGTAGCGCTCGATTGAGTTCTTCGAGATCTTCCTGTTGCGGCTGCTTCAGATGTGTCGCCAGCTGACTCGCACTATAGGATAGGTCGGGTCGGCAGGTTACTGCTGCGAATAGTAGGCAGCCGAGCTTCTGTTGATACTCCTGGATTTGTTTCGCGGGGAGTTTTGTGGAGGCGCTACTGTTGTTCCCATAGCGGTAGGGAGTTGGGACCGCAGTCGGTGCTAGACCGAATTTCTTCGCGACGGTGCTTGAGTACTTTCCAGCGTGTAGGTAGAACGCCGTGTCGTCTTCGACGATGTTCAGTCCTAGGTACTGGGTAACTTCGTCGGACACCGTGAGCGTCAGGTCCCTTTTCAGCTCCCCTTCGAACCAGGTGACGATGTCGGTGGTAGAACCGATGTAGAGCAGGTCGTCGACGTAGACGATGAGCAGAATGTAATCTCTTCCCTTCTGTAGTCGGTACATGCCTTGGTCATGTGGTAGCTGTAGGAATCCGATTTTTACGAGCCGGCCGTGAAGGTGCTGCTGCCAGAGCCGTGGGGCTTGCTTGATCCCGTAAAGGGATTTTTCCAGCTGGCATACTTTTGAAGGGTCGTCGATGAATCCGTGGGGTTGTTCGACGAAGATTTCGGCGTCCACAGGTGCGTACAAGAAGGCGTTTGCAACGTCGATTTGCCGTAGTGGTAGTTTCTTCGTGGCCGCGATGGCGAGTAGGATGCGCAGAGAGGTGTGACGGGAGACTGGAGCGAAGGTTTCTGTGTAGTCGGTTCCGTATCGTTGATCAAAGCCTCGTACGACCCATCGAGCTTTGAATCGTTCGATGGAGCCGTCTGAGTTGGTCTTGATGCGGTACACCCATTTCCCCGAGAGAATGTTCTTCCCGTTGATGCTCGTTGCAGGTACCAGTTTCCATGTTTCTCGGTCTTGCAGAGCTTTTAACTCTTTTTCCATCGCTTCCTTCCATTGTGCCTTATGTTCCCCCCCCAGAGCCTGCGACAGGGTCGACGGCTCGCGCGGAGAAGGCGGCGGCGGGTGCTGGACGGAGACCCATAGTCCTAGGATCTGCAGTCCCGTGGCTGTGTGTCGAGGGGAGTTTTCATTCTCGGGATAAGCTGCTTCATCACCGTCTTCAGGATCGGGTAAGAAGTTTGGCCCGATGCGTTCGGAAATATTCGAGTCGACGGGGTGTGGTGTAGCGTAGCCTTGGTCAGCGAAGTGGTAAAAGGTGTCGAGGTTGTTGCTATCGAGGGGATTATCTTCATCGAGTGGAACAGGTACGGAGCAGTAGGGGAGTGGTCCGGCAGCCTCCGAGGCTCCAGGGACGTCTTCTTCTGCTGCGTCAGCCTCGGCAGCATGGTCAGCGAAGGAGCGAAGGCCCGCGAAGCCGTCGGTGGGGTCGTCTGAGTTGGCAATGTTGTCCAGGTAATGCTGCAGCGTCAGTCGCTCGTAGAAGATAACATCACGTGATGCCACCGTATTTTTGTCGTGTATGTCGAGAATCTTCCACGCGTGAAAATGTTTGGCGATGCCGAGGTGTAGTCCCCACCGAGCTCGTTGAGTGAAGCGTCCTGCTCGAGCTGTGTGGGGTCTGTATTGTACCATGCAGCCGAAAACTCGAAGTAATTTTGTGCTGCCCCTTTTTCCCGTCCACAGCAGGTGCGGTGATGCGTTGTTGGGGAGCGATGACGAGGACAACAGGTTGTGCAGGTGGACTGCATGTGTCATCGCGTCTGGCCACAGTGTATTGGGCAGCCTCATCCCCAGAAGCAGTTTTCGCATCGTCGTCTGCAAGGTCCGGTTCATGCGTTCTGCTACCCCCTGCTGCTGGTGAGCATAGGGCAGAGACACCAGGCGTCGGATTCCCCTTTCCGCGAGATAGGTCCTGAAGCGTTGTGACTGGTATTCCAGTGCACCGTCTGACTGGAAACTCTTGAGTTTGGTTCCTGACTCTCGTTCGGCGATTGGAAGCCATGTGGTGAAGGCCTCGAAGGCTTGATCGCGCGTTTTGAGATTGAAGTGCCAGACGTATCTGGTTGCGGCGTCGATGAACGTGATGACGTAGTTGAAGTCGGCTTCGGTGTCGTCTCGAGGCATGTTTAGAATATCGCTGTAGACCTTTTCCATCGGAGCGTAAGTGGGTGCGCTTGGATTGTGATGGGCTGGGAAAGGTTGATGAGGAAGATCTGCTTCGGGGCACGTGAAGCATCGTGCTCTTGGTCGGCGAAGTTCTTGGCCGCTCGTCGTTAGAAGGGCGTTACGTTCTAACACCTCTGCTTGTATTGTTTGTAGTATCGTGCTGTTTGCAGGATGTCCGAGACGTTGGTGCCAGATGTCGTCGGGAGCGCGGTGACCGGGCGAGCGGTGGTAGATGTCGGCGTTGGAGAAGAACGCGACGACCGAGGCGGGACTTCGACAAGCTTCTCGTGTGGCGGGCATAAGTTGGTCTGCTTCGGTTGGCTGTCCTCGTGTCGCTGGTGGTGTTACTCGGCTGGGTCCTGCTGCCGATACTGCAGGTGATGGTTTTGTTGGGACACATGCGGGTACTTGTCTTTCTTGTCTGATAACTGCTAATGCTCGTGTTCTTTCTGCTGCAGGTATGGTGTTGGAGTGCCAGAAGCCGTCGCTGTCGAAGTCGGGATCAAGATCTGGCGGATGAGTCCAGGCGGCGAAGGATACGATACCGTCGCTGTCGGCAGTTCCGCGGTCGGGGACGAAGTCCAACACGAAGACACCGGACTTCAGGAGGGCACGACCGATGAAGAGACCGCCCTTCCCGTGGTAAAGTCGGAACTCGTTGGAGAAGGAGTCGCACTCCAGGTGAATCCCCTTAGCCATTAGTTGGCTTACGCTTAATAGGTTGTATCCCAGATTGTCGACGATGAGGACCTTGTTGAGCTGAAGAATAACGTTTGTCTCCATTGATTGTAACTGAACCACGCCTTGTCTATTTGTTTTCAGGTTTTCGTTGTTGGCGACGGTGATGACGACGTCACGGTTGAGGCGTCGCTCGTGTTGTACGAAGCGTCCGGAGGAGCACATGTGCTGACCGCAGCAACTGTCCAAGAACCAGGTGTTCCGCCCGGTGGGTTCGGCGTTAGCGACTGCAGCGTATGTCGGGTTGACCTGAAGTCCTTGCGAGCGCGGCGGCGGGAATTCCTCTTCGTCTGGTGCGTAAGTGGGTGGTGAAGCGGGTGCGCAGTTGTCGATGTGTACCATGCAGTTGATGATGTTGGGTGTTTGTTGTGCAGATGTTGAAGAGCGCCTTGGAGGACTTGCTTGAGTGGAAGCGACTTGTGGGTCTGCTGCACGGTAAACGCGAGGGCGGTTGCAGTTGACCTTGGAGTGCCCGGAAGTCTGACAGTTGTGGCAGAACGGCGGCACGATGGTGAGTCCTCGGTTGTCACGTTGATCTTGCTTGCTGCGTCGGTTGTAGTTGTTGTCATTTCTTCTTTGAGTGTAGAAGACTAACTGCTGTTGCTTCCTTGGTTGTCTTTCCTCGAACAGATCCATCTCCTGTTGTTCAGCGTGAAGCTCGGCGCAGAGGTGCATCTCCGAAATTCTTCCGTGGGCTCGAAGAAGTGATCGTGTGGTTCTCCATTCTGGCCCGAGCCCGGCGAGGACAAGTGTCACGAAGCTTTCTTCAGTGATCGTTCCTCCGCACCGAAGCAGGCGGTCGCGGAGGGTCTGGCAGCGACTCATATACTGCATCGCCTTTTCCCCGGTCTTCATCTGTATTGTTGTCAGCTGTTGCATGAGTCTGCTTTGTGTCACGCTGTCGTTTGCTTGGTAAAGGCATTTGAGGTGGTGCCATGCGAGCTCCGCGGAGTTTCCATAACTCCGATACGTTCTGATGCTCTGCTGCTCTTGTGGTGACAGGTTTCTCAGGAGTACCGTGTACGCCAGCAGCGACTGATACGTGAAGATCTCTTGTTCCTTCCCAGTGCCGTTGCTTGGGAATGGCAGGGACCCGTTGAAGTATCCCAGAAGATGCGCGGCCTCCATCAGCAGCTCGAACTCGAAGCTCCAGGTAAAGAAGTCGTGTCCGTTGAACGGTGAGGATGTCTGAAGTTTGATCACGTGTGAGAACTGCGCCTGTAAACTTAAGATTTCATTCGGTGTTTGTTGTGAAGCAGCTGTTGTTGGCTGGGCACGGGGCGGCATGAATTCGAACGTCCCCGGCGAAGAATGATAAGGCGCAAAGGTAGGCGCTTGATTGTGTCGCCCGAAGGATGAGTTGTCGAGGCTCATCGGCGCTAATCCCATATTCCCTCCATTGCTCTGTGTTGAGTGCGCAGGTGTCCTTGTCTGCTGCTGCTGATCGAAGTGTGACATGAAGCTGAAGAATCTCTCCATGAGATTCGGGTCCACACTTGAAGAGGGAGACGGGGTCACCATCTCTG